GTTCTTTGTAAATTCTGGATATTAGCCCTTTGTCAGATGGGTAAACTGCAAAAATTTTTTCCCATTCTGTTGGTTGCCGATTCACTCTAATGACTGTTTCTTTTGCCATGCAGAAGCTGTGGAGTTTGATTAGGTCTCATTTGTCTATTTTGGCTTTTGTTGTCAATGCTCTTGGTGTTTTGGTCATGAAGTACTTGCCTACGCCTATGTCCTGAATGGTTTTGCCTAGATTTTCTTCTAGGGTTTTTATGGTGTTAGGTCTTATGTTTAAGTCTTTAATCCATCTGGAGTTAATTTTAGTGTAAGGTGTCAGGAAGGGGTCCAGTTTCTGCTTCCTGCACATGGCTAGCCAGTTTTCCCAACACCATTTATTAAACAGGGAATCCTTTCCCCATTGCTTGTTTTTGTCAGGTTTGTCAAAGATCAGATGGTTGTAGATATGTTGTGTTGCCTCCGAGACCTCTGTTCTATTCCATTGGTTTATATCTCTGTCTTGGTACCAGTACCATGCTGTTTTGATTACTGTAGCCTTGTAGTATAGTTTGAAGTCCAGTAGTGTGATGCCTCCTGCTTTGTTCTTTTTGCTTAGAATTGGCTTGGCTATACGGGCTCTCTTTTGGTTCCATATGAAGTTTAAGGTGTTTTTTTCCAGTTCCGTGAAGAAGGTCATTGGTAGCTTGATGGGGATATGCTGAATCTGTAAATTACTTTGGGCAGTATGGCCATTTTCACGATATTGATTCTTCCTAACCATGAACATGGAATGTTTCTCCATCTATTTGTGTCCTCTCTTATTTCATTGAGCAGTGGCTTGTAGTTCTCCTTGAAGAGGTCCTCTACATTCCTTGTTAGTTGTATTCCTAGGTATTTTATTCTCTTTGTGGCAATTGTGAATGGAAGTTCGTTCTTGATTTGGCTCTCTTTAAGTCTGTTATTGGTGTATAGGAATGCATGTGATTTTTGTACATTGATTTTGTATCCTGAGACTTTGCTGAAGTTGCTTATCTGTTTCAGGAGATTTTGGGCCGAGATGATGGGGTCTTCCAGATATACAATCATGTCGTCTGCAAATAGAGACAATTTGACTTCCTCCTTTCATATTTGAATACCCTTTATTTCATTTTCTTGCCTGATTGCTCTGGCTAGAACTTGCAGTATTATATTGAACAGGAGTGGTGAGAGAGGGCATCCTTGTCTAGTGCCAGATTTCAAGGGAAATGCTTCCAGTTTTTGCCCATTCAGTATGATATTGGCTGTTGGTTTGTCATAAATAGCTTTTATTATTTTGAGATACGTTCCGTCAATACCTAGCTTATTGAGGGTTTTTAGCATATAGGGCTGTGGAATTTTGTCAAAGGGCTTCTCTGCATCTGTTGAGATAATCATGTGGTTTTTGTCTTTGGTTCTGTTTATGTGGTGAATTACGTTTATAGACTTGCGTGTTGAACCAGTCTTGCATCCCCGGGATGAAGCCTACTTGATCATGGTGGATAAGCTTTTTGATGTGCTGTTGCAGTCGGCTTTCCAGTATTTTATTGAAGATTTTTGCATCTATGTTCATCATGGATATTGGCCTGAAGTTTTCTTGTTGAGTCTCTGCCGGGTTTTGGTATCAGGATGATGTTGCTCTCATAAAATGATTTGGGAAGGATTCCCTCTTTTTGGATTGTTTGGAATAGTTTCAGAAGGAATGGTACCAGCTCCTCTTTGTATGTCTGGTAGAATTCGGCTGTGAATCTGTCTGGACCTGGGCTTTTTTTGGGTGGTAGACTCTTAATTGCTGCCTCAACTTCAGACCTTGTTATGGGTCTGTTCAGGGTTTCGGCTTCTTCCTGGTTTAGCCTTGGGAGGAGGCAAGTGTCCAGGAATTTATCCATTTCTTCCAGGTTTACTAGTTTATGTGCATAGAGCTGTTTGTAATAATCTCTGATGATGGTTACATCATCTAAATTGAGCCAAAGTTTTATAGGGAAGTTTGAGAGAGAGAGAGAGCGCTCTCTCAAATAAATGAATTTTGCAGAAGTAAAAGAAAACGTTTACTGTCCTTTGATCACAGTTGAAAAACGGAGGTGGTTGGAGTTATCTGAAACATAGCTTGCCCTTGTTTAAAAAAAAAAAAAAACATCTGGACCCGCCTTGCCCACTCTGAGAGTGGCAGATGTCGTGCTCAGCAGAAAGGGGCAGCACCACACCCCGTGATTCTGGGCAAGCTTTGGAGTCTGCCTGTGGGTTTGAATCCGGCTCTGCCAGATACACACTTGTCATCTGGGCCATTTAGTTAATTGCTCTGAGCTTCAACTTCATCATCATCAAATCTGAGGAGATTATGCTTATCTCCTAAGGGGGAGGTTAAGTGAGAAGATGCAGCAAAGACCCTGTCACCTCATAGGTCAACTATTTTAAAATAAGACTTAGTGCTTTGAGATGTATGGCCTTTTATTTCTGTCTTGCATTCAGGACTCTTGGTTCCCCACACAGCATCTGCTATGGAAAACCACAGGGGCTTTGCTTCCATTTTCTATTTCCTACATCATGTCTTAGTGTTTCTGAGATCCCTCAAAGAGAATGGCTCTCTCTAAGGGAGCTCACCCCCAGCTGAAGTGGAGAGTAATAATAAGAGGCTCCTCCAACCTGGTGCTTCTAGGACCTGGTTGATGGATCATTGAATCTCCTAGTTCCACCTATAGGGGTTCACCTTCAGTAGGGACCCCTGGAGTCTATATTTGTTCTGGTGATCAGCTGGGTTCTGGGGCCCGGTTCTATCCTCAGACTTCTGTCCCTGTTTTTCCCCTTCACATCATTCAGCCACATAGCGCCCCCTGTGCAAATTTCAGTGAATTACATTGTTTTTTTGTTGCGAAGCTAGGACAGCTAAGATAGTACAAGGTCGCCCCTTCCTTGATTACCGCAATTGACTTCTGTAGGTCTGGCTAAGTTACCAGCAGTGAGTGAGAAGCCCAGCCATTTTGGTGGCAGTTGGGCTGGTTTTGAGGGTCAAACAAAAGAGTTTTGAAAATATACAATGGGTTTATATGCCTACTGTCACCATTCTTGCTATTGGTGCCCACATTTTAGTAGCCACCAAATGGCCTGCTGGTACTGTGCTGGGAACTTTTTCTACTTTGTTGCCAAATCTCACAAGGGTCCTCAGGTGACATAGACTGTTAAAGTTTACCACCTTGATCATTTGGATGAACTGTTCTCTGAAAGAAGGGATTTAATGAGAGCAGAATAAAAAGAAAAAAACATGCCCACTGCCCAAACTTTAGTTCATGCTCACTTATTTTAACTTTTGGTATGGAACACTCTATCATTAAAGATATATGGACCTTTTAATAAAGATATATAAATAAAGACTTCTGCTTTATAGGAACAGACAAGGCAGTGTGTATTTGAGAAACTTAAAAGTCTGTAACAGCCGTTATGGAAGTGCCTGCAGGGTCCGGCCACGTTGACATTTAGGAGTGTCACTATTCAGCATGCACAGAGTGCTCCTATCCACTCTCCTTGCAGCAGGACTCAGGACAAGTGTTCATAAATATTTTATGTGTAGCTGATGGCAATCACAGCAATGCTGCTGAGCCCCAGAGTGCTATTCAAAGGGAGGCAGTGGCTTCCTGTTTGTGTTACTTTCCCTCCTCCTAGGCCGTGGATGCTGATAGCTCAGGTTGACTCCGGTGCCGAGTTTTGCTTGAGTTGTGATGTATTTTGGCAAGGAATTTGTTAATGATAATAAAATACCAGAGTTGGAAAGTTATTTACTTTTTTTTCCCATGAGTAAGGAGATTCTGCATTATTCAGATAAAAACAATCACTGCAAACACCACATGCCAGGCCTCCTGCCAAGCAAGCCCTTTCCTTGCATTTTCTCATTAAATCTCATGCCCATCCCATGGGAGAAGTATTTTTAGTGTCCCCATTTGAGACCGGAGGAAGCAGGTGGAAAGAGGGGAAGTGACTCACCCAGGCCCCACAGCCAGTGAGTGGCAGAGCTGGGTGCCACTTGCACCCACCAGCACGTCGGAGGTTCCTGTGATTGGTGAGCCAGGGAGCTTGGACTGACAGTGAATGATCCAGGTTTTCAGGATAATGTGGAGGGAAATATTGGAACCAGAACCTGTGAACTGGAGGACCTGGAACCTGAAAGAAGCCAGTTGCTTTCCAGAGAAAGAATTCATTCCACTCTGGACCAAAATTTCTCAAATTCCTTAGCCTTAAGGCTTCCAAGACTGGAGCCTCAGGTGTAGGGGACGTGACAGAGGACATGCTCCAGAGGCCACCTGCCCTTTGAAGGCAGAACCAAGTCTTGTTTTGTTCTGTGCTCTGCTTCCAGCCCCAGAGCCCGGCCTGGTGTGCACAGGAGCTGGCTTGGAGGATGGAAGCATGGAGGAAAGGTGGGAGGAAGGGGAGGAAAAAGGGAGGGAGGGATGTTGTCATTTTCCCTGGATGGATGTTTGGATTGAAGGAAAGAATTGGGGACTTTGGTAGGAGAAAGAGAGCTAGTAATAAATTAGAACCAGAATGAAATAAGAGTTATAAGAGACAGAAGAGTTGCTGGGTTTTGTACAAGGCACCATTATTGAAAGCTCACTACTTCTTACTGTGTCCCATATATTCTCCCTGTACACAGATCTCATTCATATGTTTATTTAACAAAGCTTTTGACCACTAACATGGCTCTAAACATGTCCTTCTCTCAGAGAGAGGAGTTTACAGTCTCGGGAAATTACTTAAGCCAGCAATCTTGTTGCCTGATCGTTAGCGGAGGACCTGAGCCTCCCGACTCGAATGTCTTCACCTGCCCAGGGTGCTCCTGCAGCAGAGGGTGTTGTATTGACCGGAAGGAGGGAAGCTTCCATGTGGTCTTTCTTTTTCTTTGCCAAAATATTACTTTTAACTTTTTCCACCTTTTTATGAAGCTTTCGGGTTTTTGTAGTTGTATGTTTAATGGAATGCTAGGATCTCATGTGACATGACATTGATTTTTCTGTTTTAACCAGGATTGATCGGAAGATGTCAAGTACTCACACCAGCTACAAACTGGATGAGGCTCAGGCTATCATGAGTGAGCTCCGGACCATCAAGAAGGCTATTTGCACAGGCGAGAAGGAGAGGCGGGACCTGATGCATGTAAGCTGCCTGCCTGCTCATGTGTTTTATTTTAGGAGGTTTTTAATATACTTATGTATTACATGTTAAATAGTTATTGTGTATATAACATATATGTATATATAATATAAATGCAAAAACATACATATATATGCACCCCCCAGTGTATTTAAGTAAGTATGTAGTCATCCCTCTGTATCCTTGGGGGATTGGTTCCAAGACACACCCCCATCCCCCAGGATACCAAAATCATTGGATGCTCAAATCCCTTGTAAAAAAATGGTATAGTATTTGCATATAAGCTACATAATCCTCCTGTATACTTTTCTTTTTTCTGGAGACAGGGTCTCTCTCTGTCACCTAGGCTTGAGTACAATGGCACAAAAATGGCTCACTGCAGCCTTGACCTCCCAGGCTCAAGCCGTCCTCCCACCTCAGCCTCGAGAATAGCTGGGACCACAGGTACACACTGTTATGCCTGGCTAATTTACATATTTGTAGTAGAGACAGGGTCTTGCCATGTCGGCCAGGGTGGTCTCAAACTCCTGGCCCTGAGCAGTCCTCCTGTCTTGGCCTCCCAAAGTGCTGGCATTACAGGCATGAGCCACCATGCCTGGCCCCTCCCATATGCTTTAAACCATCTCTAGATTACTTATACTACCTCCTGCAGTGTAAATACTATGTAAATTGATGTTACACTGTATTAGTTTTTTCTTTGTGTTATTTTTTTTTTTCCCTCAGAATATTTCCTATCTGTGGTAGGTTAAATCTGGAAATGTGGAATCTGTGGATATGGAGGCTGTTTCAGTTTTCTGGGGCTGCCATAACAAGGTAGCACAAACTGAGTGGCTTTAGAACAACAGAAATTTGGTCTCTCAGGTTTAGAGGCCAGAAGTCCGAAATCAAGGTGTGGGCGGGGTCACACTTCTGAAGCCTGGAGGGGAAGATCCTTCCTTGCCTATTCCAGCTTCCTTGGATTGTAGATACCATTGTGATGTCTGCCTCCATAGTCACATGATTGTCTCTGTGCTGAATTTCCTCTCCTGAAAGGACACCAGCCATTGGATAAGGGTCTACCCTAATCCAGTATGACCTCATCTTAACTAGATTACATCTGTAAAGACTATTTCCAAATAAGGTCGCACTCACAGGTTCCTGGGATTAGGACTTAAACATATCTCCTGGGGGAACATAATTCAACCCCCAGCAATGGGTGATACATTCATATTGTTCAATAATCAGGAGAATTCCATAGGTCTGTGATAAGAAGTCTTGCTATTGCTCCACCTCCTACTGCCCCTAACTGCCTTTGTTAGCTTCTTGCCTACCCTCCCAGAATTCACGCGGGCACACAAAAACAAGAATATGTGTTTAGCTGTCCTCACGCAGAGCCAGGACTGTGAAACTCTTCAACACTAGCTTCCTTGATTAACAGCAATATCCTCTACCTTTCCCTGTATCTGTACACAGAGAGCTGCTCTTTCCTTGATATTGTTGCATAGCATCCACCCACTATGTGGGTGTATTTGTATTATATAGCTGGGATCATTATAGCTTTATATTGCTTTATGTTTTTTCCCCTTGAACTCTTGTAGTTTCTGTTATCTTTAGAAAAAGTTGAGCTTTTGCAAATGCAAAAAGCTGCCTCCATGGTGGGGAACTCAGGCAAGGCATCTGAGTGGCTGGCCCTAGTGCTGCACACGGTGGCCTCAGAGAGGTCAAGGCCGGGAGCACTGCATGACCTCATGGCGTCAAGTGCTGGAATGCATTCAGTGCTTTCTGTTACAGCTTTTATTTTTCATCTGCTTCCCTAAGTGAGCATCTATTGCCTGCTGGCACGTGTCTAGATTCTGTAGAGTGTAAGACCCACAGGACAGATCAAGCAAAGCTCAAACTTGGAGCCAAAATGAGACAGATGCACAAAAAACTGCCCTGCCTGGGTAGTGCTTCCTAAGGTCAAGGCCGTCAGGGACTTGTAGAGAGTCCTTATGGTGCTTGTGAAGATGCAGATTACCAGGCCCCACCCCAGACTCACTGAATTCGAATCTCTGGAGGTAGGGCCCAGAAATCTGTATTTACAGATAAACTCTACAGGTTGTGATAGGTGGATGGTTAATTGTTAGATTTTTTTGGCAAACAGGTAGCACGGAGAACAGCTACCGTTTACTGAAGTCTCTGCGCAGCTGACATCAAACGTGATGCCCTGTGTTTGTTACGCATCACCGACACCCCAGGCTGAACCTGGTTGCATTCCATGGCAGAGACACAAAGGCTTTATGCCATGAGGCCAAGCAGTGCTGCCTGCCCCGGCCTCTCTGAGCCACATGTGCAGCATCAGGACCAGCCACTCATTTGCCTTGCTTGAGTTCCCACCGTGGAGGCAGGAGATAGAATTTCTGGAAGCAGCTTCAGGCCCAAGTACCTTCTCTGAGTTCTCCATAGCTTCTCAGACTCTGAGAAGCTCCAGGAAGAGGCACGGGCAGAGTCCTCTTCTATCCAAATTAAATCAGTTGTTTTGCCTTTCTTATGTGAACTTAACTCTACTGGCCCTGCCCAAGAAGGCTTTATCTCCATCTCAAGCCAGTTTCGTGAGTTCTACTGCACTTGGGCATTTTTGGTTCTGGTGTCTATGGCAAATCTGCTGAAAGTGAATATATTCAGAAGTCTAAAAGCAATGGTCAAAAATCTGATTTCTGGTTGGGTGCTATGGCTCATGCTTATAATCCCAACACTTTGGGAGGCTGAGGCAGGAGGATTGCTTGAGCCCAGAACTTTGAGAACAGCCTGGGCAATATAGTGAGACCTGATCTCTATAAAAACAAGCAAGCAAGCAAGCAAACAAAAGTTTAGCTAGGTGTGGTGGCGTACCTGTAGTCCCAGGTACTCAGGAGGCTGAGGTGGGAGGATCACTTGAGCCTGGGAAGTCTTGGCTACAGTGAGCTATGATTGTGCTACTGCACTCCAGCCTGGGTGACAGAATGAGACCCTCTCTCAAAAAAAAAAAAAGGGATTTTAAAATTTCTGCTTAAAACTGTCACACGGAGAGATTTCACATGCCAGAATGCATACTTACTCTAATTTTTGGCAAACCAGCATACATATGAGATTACTTTCGACCATGTAGAATCACTGAAAAATCAGGTTTATAAAAAATATGTAAGCTAAAACAGCAACTCAATGAACTGAAAAGAAACACGTAAGCATTGTCTGGGAGCTGTTTCCTCCTTCCCTGTGGTTCCTCCATTACAACCTCAAGGCAGCATTTATCTCTGTCAGACTCATTTACATCTTGGATAGAAATACTTATGTTTTTCTTTGGGAAACATGAAGGTTTAAGAACCAGTACAAATGGTACAATAGTGTCCATTATTTGCTTCACATGCCGCCAGAGGGACTTAGTTGTGATGTGATTTAAATGACTAAGTTTATTAGAGGCACATGTGATAAAGGGCATTTATATGAAATCTAATGAGCGTGGGGTGGGGTGAGGCAACTGTCGAGTAATATATAAAGCAGCAGACCTAAAACATAAATGAGAAGACCACTTCTGGAGGGAAGAGAAACATCACTATCTCGGTTCAAAGAGCTCATCTCATTCTGTTCCAGAGCCTGGCCAAGCTGACTGATAGCTTCAAGAACAGCTGCTGTGTCACCGACTCTCTAGCGGACTTCCCTCACCACGCAGGCGTGCCTGGCGATGCTGGTGTACCCCAGCAGTTCTGCGATGCCGGCTCCCAGACCGATATCATCGGGGAGGTATCTGCGCACCAGGGGAAGAAACACGTCGGGAGAGGGGATGGCTGTATTAGTGTTGCTGTCACTGGTTTGGTGCAATTTTCCACATTCACTTAAGAAATGTCTTCACTTTTGTGCCGTTAAGTTTGAAGAAAAAGTACTGTGTCTCACAATACAATTGAATTTCTTATACTGCTGCCCTTATGATTTGGACTCTTACAAATGACAGACTCCTTGTGACAGTTGTTTCACTGTTCTTCTGACAGACATATGACTTTTTAGAGCATGGGTCCCCACACTTTTTCCGTGAAGGGCCAGATAGTAAATATAGTCAGTATTTTAGGCTTTGCAGGTAGTTCTGCTGGAACTACCCCACCCTGTCACTGTAGTGTACAGGCAGCCATCACAGAGATGCCTTGCAGGCATGTAAGGTTGGGGCCTCAAGCTGGCCAAACGTTCATTTGCCAGTGGGTGGGATTTGGCTCCAGGGCCACAGTTACTGATCCCTGCCTTAACCACTGATTTCCAAAGACTTTATAGCTGTGCCACCTTGGGTGTTACTTTATTGCTGTTTCTTACTCTTCTAAAAGAATGTCAGGAAATTGAATTGAATTAAAAGCCATTTGTTTGAGACTTGGAAGAATGTCATAATGCCTCCTTTGTTAATTGGTGAAGTCTTGAGTTAGCCACAAAAACAAAGTTAGGAAAATCACATTTGAAGCAGGGTGGTGGATATTCAAAGGCACTACTATTGTAATATCATTGAGTGAAGTTTGAACGTTAATTAGTTTCCAAATGGAAAAGCAATCTAAGGAGCTTCTTTTTTTTAAGAATTATTAAGTAAAGATGAGGTATCACTGGAATGCACAGTACCATCTCCCGAAATTAAATAAATAAAAGGAAAGAAACAAAAAGAGAAAGAAACAATTGATGGAAAACTATGGGGCTTAAATAATTAGCTAGTTAATATTTGAAACCTTGGCCACTAGTGCCTCTTTGAGGGGAGGTAGGAAATCATGGCTCTTCATGTCTTGGGTGTCCTGGAACAGTCCTGTTTTCAAATTTGCCTGCATTGTTTCAAAAGTACACTTGGCCATTTTTGAGTAGGCATCTTCTTTGGATGAGGGAATATGGTCACCATCTGGAATATACACAGAAGAATCTGAAATTCAAAAATGTTTGGCATTTTTGCCTAAAGATTTTGGAGTGAGAGAAGGAAACAAGTACAAGACTTATTGAATTCGTGAATAATTCATTGCTGCTTATTGTAAGGTTAGAATTAGAATTGAGTTTGAGAGAAACAGTTAAGATAGAAGGTTCTCAGTGATTTAGGTCAGCCCTTCTAAAAATGTCAGGTGAGGAGTGGTGGCAGGTTCTGCTGCTTTAGTAGTCACTGCTCACTATTGATGAGCCCCTGCAGTTTACTGGGGCTGACCCTGGGTAAGCAGATTCATAGCTGTTATCTCAGTTTAAGTAATTGTTCCCATCCTGTTTGATGTGCAGGAGACTGAGATGCCAGGTTACCTAAGGTCTTGTAGCCAAGGGGAGGCAGGTCTGGGTTTGAAACATTTCTCATCCTTTAACCCCTGTACTTTCTACCACATCATATTATTATAGAAAAATAGATCAAAAGGCTATGACTGTATTAGCTAACCATTGCTGCATAACAGATTTCCCCAAAACCTAGCCTCTTACAACAATGCTCCTTTATTCTCTCATGCTTGATATGGTCCAGGAGACTGGGCTCGGTCTTCTGTTCCAGGTTCTCTCAGGAACCTGCATTCAAGGTATCAGCCAGGGCTGTGGTCTCATCCAAAAGCTCACCTGGGGGAGGAGCCACTTTTAAGCTCATGTGATTGTTGGCAGGATTCAGTTCCTCACAGGTTGCTGGACTGAGGGCTTCAGTCTCTTGCCATGTGGGTTGCTCCAGCATGGCAGCCTGCTTCGTCAAAGTGTGCCAGTGGAGAGAGTCTGCTAGCACAATGGAAGTCAAAGTCTTTTGTAACTTATTCACAGAAATGACTTCCCATCACCTTTGCTCTGTTCTAGTGGTTAGAGTCAAGTTATAGACCCAGGCCACTCTCAAGGGGAGTTAATTTAACACGGGGAGAATCCCAGGAGGTGGAGGTCACTAGGGGCCATCTTAGAAGTCTGCCTACCTCACTTTGTGCTTGTGTTGAGTCTATTTTGTGGGGTTGGTATTGCTATATATCAGATGCGCTTTTTGAGACTGGATATTTGCAACCACAGGGTTGCACATGCCATAGGGCAGCATAGGAACTGTGAAGCAGGAGTCTCTTGGATCCATTTGGCTGTCTTTTCTTTTCACTAAAATGTACATTTAATTGTCAAAGACAACTACAAAATTAAAGCTTAGAGAGAGGTGCATACAGCTTTGAGAAGAAGTTTGAGAGATGATGTTTATTGATCTTGATGAAGAGTTGGTTGTGAGGTAACTGATAAATAGGGGACTGAAATGGCAAGTAGCTCATCTCCACTGTGGACAGTTTTTGGAGCTGTGGCACTGCCACTTAAATATATTTATACTGAGGAAGCCAGAGAGGAGCATTGGATGAGGCCATTTAAACATGTATAATTGTGGCCAGGCATGGTGGCTCATGTGTAATCCTAGCACTTTGGGAGGTTGAGGTGGCCAGATTGCTTGAGCCCATGAGTTGAAGACCAGCCTGGGCAACATGGTGAAACTCCATCTCTACAAACCAAAAATTAGGCAGGCATTGTGGCTCATGCCTGTAGTCCCAGCTACTTGGGAGGCTGAGGCAGGAGGATCACTTGAGCCCAAGGGGTCAAGGCTGCAGTGAGCTGTGATTGCCACAGTGTACTCTAGCCTGGACAACAGTGTGAGACCCTGATTCAAAAAAAGAAACCATGAGCAATTGTTAACTCTGGTTGGAGAATGCTCATTCCCTTATAAGGCACTTTTTCATCTTGTCATTCAAGGCAATAAATTTGCAAAGAAATTTTCCATCAATAGATCAAAACTAGTATTGATAAATTCATTGCTAATCATTCAAGTTAAATATTTTCAGATACTTGTTGATGGGAAGTTATTTCAAAAACATAAAGACTTGGTGGTCATAATATGTGGTCTAGTAAGGTCAGACAACAGATGGAGCCGATTTATTGAAACTAGAGTTGTATGAATATTTGCAGGAATGAGGAAAGGATTAACCAAAGTGTAGTACAGTTACTTCCCATACATGTCTTTTTTTTTTGTTTTGTGTAGGATTTTGTCGCCGTCCATAGAATTGGTATGAAAATATTTAAGTATATTTCCTCACCACAGAGCACTGCATGTAGAGGCTAACTCTATCGTGGTACTCCCTGAGCTCTGGCTTTTTGAGACCTTGCTGGCCTTCCTTTTGTCCTTGGTTCTTTTACATGCCTTGTGGCATCAGAAGGCGTCCACCATCCAGCTCACATAACTAGTCCAGCTTCCTCAGACCGCGGGGCTTCTGAGTAGAACATCATTATTTTATGTTTACTGAGGAATTAGAGAATGTACTGCACAAAATGGGGTGACTGGTTTTTGCCTTCGTACCAACTTTTTTTTTCTTTTTGAGACGGAGTCTTGCTCTGTCACCAGGCTGGAGTGCGGTGGCGTGATCTTGGCTCACAGAAACTTCCCCTTCCTAGGTTCAAGCAATTCTTCTGCCTCAGCCTCCCAAGTAGCTGGGGCTACAGGCACGTGCCACCACACCTGGCTAATTTTTTGTATTTTTAGTAGAGAAGGGGTTTCACCATGTTGGCCTCGATGGTCTATATCTGTTGACCTCACAATCCACCCGCCTCGGCCTTCCAAAGTTCTGGGATTACAGGTGTGAGCTACCGCACCCAGCCTGTATCAACTTTTACTAAGTAATTTCCTACTTCTTTTAAAACTTAATTTGAGGTGGTTGTTTGGAATTACAGAATAGATAGATATGCTGCTGCTGTGAAAAAAAAAAAAAATCCTACCAGTTTAGGCAAAAAGAGTCTTCCCCTCTTCTTGCCCCCTCCCCCAGCCAGAGGCGGCCATAGAGGGTTATTCAGTGTTTCCTTGCAGACCTTGCATAAATTGAAAGTGAAAGAGATGAAGAGTATTTCTCATTGTTGCCGAAAGTTTAAGTGAAGTTGCTAATTTGGAAATATGTTTTTAATATGTGTTTCCTTTCTTTTTTCTCTCTCTCTTCTATTCCGGAAAGTTTGTCTTTGATGATAAAACAAGACTTGTAGACCGAGTCAGACTTAATTGGCAGTATGAAGAAGCCAGAAAGAGGTAAGAAGCGCATTTTTCCAACCTCACCTTCTGCTTGCTTTCTTTCTCCCGTGGAAGGAGGCATCGCAGAGTTCTGGTGGGGGACTGCCCGCATCTGATCGGAGAACACCATCTGATAGAATACCAAGTCAAGGATTTTCATTTACATGTAGCTTAATGCACACATATGACAAAATTTCAAGTGCATTTAAAATGTAAAATTCACAATATTGCAAACAGGCAGACTTGACTCCATAACAATAGAAACTTTTTTGGTGCTATCATTCCTGGTAGTTCAGAACCTCTACCTTCCTTCCCTTCCCTCCTTCCAATAGACCGAGAATCAATTCCGGAGAGTATCGTAAGTGAAACCACTTGATATTTCATGTGTGTGGCTTCTAACTCTATAGGCTAATGGGCAAAGCCATGTATCTTGATTATAAGACGTTCAATAAGCATTAGGTCAACAGGTGAGCAGTACCCAATTGATTTCATTCTGTTTATGTTGTCATGTCGTAAACCATTGGCCTCTTGCAAATTGCGGCTTGACCCAGTTTGTGCACTTGTGTTTCTCTTTCCTCACTTCCCTCCCTGCCTCCTTCCCTCCTAGTCTTCACCCTCGGACATGGAGAAAGCTGAGAGGCTTACAGACCCTCGTGTGGTGCAGCATTTCAGGGCGCCGCATGTCTCCTCACCTGCTTAGGGCTCCTGTTTTCAATATTGTTATCCTCTCTGGCTTTTGTATTCTCTTTTTAGAGACTTTCGCTCATTTGTGTCTTCTGGAAGGAGTCTTAGAACCCAATTATTTCCAAATAAGTGCTTCAGAAAAGTATGAAGCATATCTTTTTTAAAAAGTTTCTTGAGTCACAAATGAAATATTATCTTGCGGGGCGGGGAGAGCAGGATGTCGGGTGGGGTGAGGGGTTCTTTCTGGAAGCTAAACAGTTGGGCCTGCTCAGCACACTGTACCATTCATGGATGTCTGGAAAGCTACTTTGTTGGCTTTTTTAAAACTGTAAAAATAGCAACAAAAGCCCATCATATGATTCAGTGCTCCAGGGCCAACTGAAACGGACATGGGCCGTCTGTTTTCTAGGAGGTTTTCTAACCAGTGCCTCTTGGCTTTTTAGAATGGACTCATGGTGGGCTTTAAATTTCCCCACAGAACGGTGCCAAGTTCATTTGCCAATACTGATCGTCTCTGTGGTGGCATTCTTCATTTATCATGCATTCCTTCTCTTTAGCCTGCCGGAGTTTGTGAGGCGCGATTGTCTCTTCTGTTTCTGAATATATTCCTCTGCTCTCGCCTGTTTCTGGTGGAGCTGCAAAGTGTGGGTGCTGGAATTTGCCGTGCTGGATTAAACGCAGCAAATAGATCGTTGCTACACTTAGGAATGTGATTGTTAAGTGTTTGGCTGTGACATTTACCAAACATAGCAAGTAATTTCTTTGTTTTCTAGAGATGGTGCCAGTATACGGTGAGTAACCTAAATGTTGGGATAATATGTTTGGGTGAAAAGTCAATTATTTAAGAAAATTTTTCAAGGAGCAGGCACAGTACTTCATCAGTTCTTTTGAATAAAATACCATATTATTTCAAGATGCCCAGAACCTTGTTAGGAAATGCACTGCAGCTACAGGGGAAGGTTCAACCTTCCATCGGCAGGAGGGACATCTCAGAAACGCCTCTGTGCGCTGTGTTGGAATGTTTAAAACTCAGAGATGTCTTTTCAATTCTACCTGGGTGAGCTTGCACGGGTGCTGCCTGTCCTTTTCCCGCTAGCGAGGTGGTGCTCCACACAGGGAGGGAGGTCTTAACCCTCCAGGAGACTTCAGCAGTGTCTGCAGATGTGTTTAGGTGTCCCAACTCTGGGGCAGGTGCTACTGGCATCTAGTGGGCACCAGCCAGGGAGGCCACTCGACATCCTGTAGTGCACAGGATGGCCCCCACAGCAAAGACTTACCTGACCCAGCATGGCTACAGTGCTGAGGGCCAGAAACCTTGCCATGGGGCCTCTTCCTGTCTTGCTCCTGAATCTTCATGATGTGTGGACAACAAGGGGCTTACACGAGCAGGTCACCTGCTGACTCACAGGCATCATCCCAATGCCCATGCCTCACTTACCCTGTTCCAGCCATATCGGCCCCTCGGTGTTCCTCAGACGTGCCAGCATGCCTGCACTGAGCAGCCCCTCGGGCCTCCCACTGGGCGTCCTCCCCACTGAGCCAACTCTTGACCTAGCATCTGCAGCTGGCAGAGTGACGGCCCCTCAAGGTGTCTACATCCTGATCTCCAGAGCCTGTGAACATGTGGCTTTCTGTGGCAAAAGGGACTTCGCAGATGTCATTAGATTAGGGATCCTGAGATGATGGGGGAATAAGCCTGGATGATGCAGGCAGGCCCAGTGCCATCACAAGGGTCCTCATAAAAGAGAGACAGGACGGTCAACAGCAGAGAGGGAGATGTGAGGTTGGAAGCAGAGGTCAGAATAGTGTGGAGCCAGGAGCCAGGGAGCATGGGCAGGCCCTGGAAGCTGGAAGGTGCACAGAAACAGATTTTCCCCTGGAGCCTCCAGAAGGAACGCAGCCCTGTAGACACATTTTCAACTTCCGCCCTCCAGAACAGTAAGGGAATAATAGATGTTGCTTTGAGCCATTAAGTTTATGGCAATTCAGGGCAGAAAAGAGCAAACCCGTACAATTCCCTTGGCCTGGAATGAGGTGGCTTTTCCCCAGGTTGTCACATGACCTCTCCTCTCCTTTTGATCACCTTGTTAGAGAGGTTTCCTTGACCATCCTGAAGAAAATGGCACCACCCGGTTCTCACCCCTCTCCCCCCGATTTGCTGAGCAAATGTTATTACCTAAGTAGTGTTTACTTTGTTATTGCCTGTCTCTCCCTGTGAAAATGTAAATAACCCACATGAATACAGGGAGTGTATGTCATTGCTGTAAGCCCAGCAGCTACATACTCAGTGAATATTTATTGAATGAGTAAATGAGGGTCCTATGTGGTTGCATTTGCTATTTGGCCTTTGCCCCAGGACTGGGCGAGCCAGGGCATTCCCGTGGCTGGGTCAGGTCCAGGCCAACTGCTCTGCTCCTGGGTCCCTTCTTCAAACCTCCATCCAGGTGTGAGCCTTGGGGTCTCTTGCCTTGAATTGAGAAGGGAAAGGGCTTCCAGACGTGGGTGCATTTAGGGATTGAAGGTAGACAGGGAACGGTCTCTCCCTTTCAAGGACTATGTTTAAGCTGTGATATGTCAACACACTGAGCTAGACTCACAGTTCTTGGCCTTCATGGACATTTGAAAGGGCTACTAGCCTTTGAACTCCATAATAAATCCTCTTCTTGGAGGTTGGAGAAAATGGCATTGAAGCTGGGCCCTGAAGGAGTGCTGGAGTCCCAGTTGCCCATCCGTTGGGGATGGGCTTTCTCAAGTAGGAGTGGGGGTCAGGAGTGGGGGTGAGGTGTCAGTCTGTAGCAGCTGGACTGGCCTGGAATTGCAAGGCAAAGGCCAGCCAGGGTGGAACCAAGGATGCGTGAGCAGGGAGGCAAGCCATGGCATGGGGGCCATGATGCCCTGAAGAAGTGTCAGAATTGCTAGGCACCTTTGAGTTGGGAAGGTTACGTGTGAGCCATTCAGATGGTGGTATGTGGAGGAGGGCCATTGGAGGAACCCATATGGCACAGAGATGAAGTCACCCAGCAGCTGAGCTCACCTTGGAAGATGGAACACAGGGAGAAAGGAGGAGATGCCAGGACTGAGCCTGAGGAAGTCCAATCAAAGGCCTGGCAAGGATGAGACTGGCCAGAGGGTGTGGTAAAAGGTCCAAGAGACGACGGCCGGCGCTGGAGGAAACAAGAAGAGGAAGCATACCTAAGAAGACACTTGTCTCCATGGGCCCAGTGGCTGTGAAGGAACGGAAAGGGAGGGGTGCCATTGGCCGACAGGCAGGCCTCAGCATCCCAAGCCCAGCCTGAGATGTCCCTGGCCCATGGTGCATGGGGAAAAGGAGGGCCAGGGGCAGGTTTTCCCAAAGCCCACTCGCTGCTTTCCATTCAAAGAACTCTGTCATTTGGAGACATATGTACATACATGTAATATATATTTTAATATATTCAATACATATATATTTTTATATATTATATAATACATATTTAATATGTGTATTATATATTTTTTTTCTGTTAAAACATCTTTCTCTTATAAACTCATGATAGTTGATGTTAATTGGTTTTTCCAAAATCTTTACTTGGCAAAATACTAAGCTGGCAGTCCTAAATTCATGCCATCAGCACACTCCCCCTTTTAAACTGGACTGGCCTGGGGGAAGTGCAACAGAGATGCTGCTCTCCCTGGAATTAAAGGAGGAGGATGGCCTGGAACAGGGTTTCCAGAGGCTCATGGTAAAGTGGAGGGTTGTTTCAAAGGCAGATCTCGGTTTTGACAGTGAGTTTGGTGTTTTCAGTGGACTTGAAGCTGCTTATAAACATTCTTGACGTGTTCTTGTCAGTGGAGTCTGCAGCGGATATGGCAGTTCACTGAGTCATTGATTGCAGCTCCCTTGGGCTCTGGTTCCCTGATGGGGGGGCTGCACATATCCAGTCCCCTTGGAGTGATCGTTTCTGCCTCCGGTCATTCCACATTGGTACCTATAGTAAAGGCTTAACCAGTAAGTGCATGCCCACCTCGTGAACTACTCAGCTGTAGGTCACAGAACCCTCAGCAGCCTGGGTGAGGCCCTAGACTTTACATAGCTTGTAGCATCGTCAGGACCAAATTAGCTCCCCTCTGTCCCATCCCCGTAGACAGATGGAAGGCTAGGAAGGTTGATGTCATCAGGTCTCCGGCACCAGATCAGTGATTTCATTACAAGTGCTTTTTCTGAGTGTTCTGTTAGACTGCTTCTAAATGAGGCACGTGAGGAGAACAATATAGACTTGGGAAGAGAGCAGTGGCAAGTGGTTCTCTGGCAAGAACTCAGTCTTGTAGAACAAACATTAACATTCCAGGAGCCA